GATGCCTGTATAAAGCAAAGAGAAATCAACTTTTGATTGTTGATGGTTTTTGAGAAAACTTATGAAATTTAATATATTTTAGGGTTAATCACATTTAATCCCCTTAAAGTATAATACATTTCTCAGTTTACCCCTTAACCTTTAATTTTGTTCACCTAATCCCCTATAGGACAAAATTGCCCTTGCATTATTTTGACCTTTCATTTACCTTATTTTCCTTTCTTTTATTTCTTTTTCTCTTTTTTCTTTATTTAATTCTTCCTCTTTCTCACAAAAATCTTCACCTTAATGATTGAAATTAAAAAAGAGAAATTGTAAAAATCTATCTTCTCCTTAAATGATTAAAAAAATATTAAAATCACTTTCCTAAAATACATTTTTTTTAGCTTGTCAATTCTTTTAATTTTGGGTTGTCCTCTTTCCTTTCTAGTTTCTCATTTTATTCCCAAGAAAATATCTTAATATAATTATATTATAATCTTATTAATATTATATAGTAATATATTTATATTATATATGTATATTTATAAATGTATATTATATATGCATATAATTATAATATATACATGTATATAATATTAACATGAATCTAAGAAATAGTGACAATTCTTGATCTCTCTCAATATCTCTCTCAATTTGAAAATCCAGGATTTGAATTGATGTTATATATTTATATTTATATTTATTATTATAATATAATAATATTTAATATTTATATTTAATATATAATATATATTATAATATAATATATTAGAATAATTAATATTTATATATATTATTTAATTATAATTATATATTTATATTATAACATCTATTTAATTATATTTAATTTAATTAGTTACAAACTTATAATAATGATATTATTAGTTATATGTGTTATATAATGTATATTAATCTATGTAATATAATTGATATTATCAATTATACTAATAATTATATATGTTTACTAATAGAAATTATTAATTAGTTATACCAAATTTACTAATACATTTATACTAATATATTTAATTAGTGAAAATTTCTTCTATCCCATTTATGAAGGGCTAACGAACCAAACATAAACTATAGTAATGATATACATTCTTGATACTGAACCAAACAGATGTATTGGAATAATTGGTTTCATTCCAAATCCAAGATGAATGAATCCAAATACGAATTCGATTCCAACATGCGAACCAAACGTCACCTAAAGCTATCTGTCATTCACGTGGAAGTGGTGGTCCTTGTTTATTTTTAAAATGGTTCTTTCGTTCTGCGAAAAGCATTTGTGCATGTTAGTGGGTCTGCCCACTATCTGAATTGAGACAAGAAGCTTGAAGGCATTTACTATGCATTTATAAAAAAACTAGCTTCCAATAATCTGTGGTTTGTCTAAAGAAAACCTTCACTTTGTTTCTAAATGAGTGCTGTTTCTAAACAAAACCTCTAGTGCTAATTTTTAGTCACGAAAAAAGCTTAAAAGCTATGCATGTAATTTGCCTGGAACAGATATAAAAGAGGCACATTATATGTTAATCATCCGATACTAAATTTTTGAACCTCTCTCATTCTACAGCAAGTCCGCCACGAATTGGTGATGATGAACTAATGTCAAGAAATTCCATGATCATAACTCAAATTTCTCATCCGATTTCGTGGGCAGACAAATTACAATACACACCATTGATCATAACTATTCGAATGAACCGTGAGTCTGCCGCCAATCACAGAAGTATCTATGACCAGACATGTCTGTCATTTACTTAAGCAACCTAAGTAAGGTTAACCGTGAGAACAAACATTTGATTATATATACTCCAAAGTGATCGAAACACTTTGGAGCAGCAAGTAAAAAACTAGCTTTGGAGCAAACACTCCAAAGTGAAACAAACTGGAAGCTTTGGAGCAGCATTCAAAGTGAACAAACACTTTGGAGCATCATTCAAAAGCTAGTTGAACCAACTGGAAGCTTCTTCCTGCAATCCATAAAAAATTCGGCAACTCACAGCATTCACTGATAATTAAAAATAGCCTCCATTACTGCTAAGCATTAGGTAACAGTTAAGTAATCTGCCATCTCATTTGTAAGCTAATATCCGACATCTACTTAAATAACATAACAGCTAAGTACAAGAGAAAATAGGTAAAGGCATTTAGTGCCAAAATCTGGTGGTCAAACATGCAATAAAATTCCACCAAAGACAGCAACATAATCATAAATTTAACTGGGAAACAAGCGTCTTCCATAGCAATAACAGAGACAGGACTTTTAAAACTACAAGTTCTGCCCTTGAGGTTCCTCACTTCCCCTCGATTTTCGGCACGATAAACAACTCAATCCATGTTATCTGCTCACTCTCACTGAAGCTAAGAAATAAAGCATGGAACTCCTCATCCAACAATTCTTCTAAGAGATACATTTGCAGTGTTCTCTCTAACTTCAGATCCTCCACTACTCTTTTGGCTATTTCAATTGAATACTTCTCCTTTGCTGTTCTTTCGGTAGAAACTATGAAGGAAAATCTATTGAAGTTGCTCAGTGCCTCTTGGTAGTTATCAGAACCCAACCTTCGGAACTTGGTACCTCTTGAGCCTTCCTTCTCAGAACTGTAGGCAGCACTACCCAATGGTCGCTTGCCGGGATTTCTCAGAATAGGGCTTCCATCATCATCATATGTTCCCTTCAAATTTGCTAGGTTGATGACAGAACTTGAAGCCACTCCTTTGCTTTTGAGGTTCAAATCACCTCTACGGACACGATGAGGCACAAATTGGGTGGGGGTTGAGCCGAAGATTGAGCACGATTGCCTGTGGCATTTTTGCCGTCCATCATCTCATCCCATAGAATCATCAAATTAGCACTATGTGGGTATTGGAAGTCCACATACTGATGATCCAGCTATCAAGCAAACACCAAGAGATAGTTTATTAGGTAAAAGCTTTCTTAACAGATCAGAATCCAGCAAATATTGAGAAAGGAAATGAGCAGTTTTCAAAAGTGACATTGCTGCTTAGAAAATTCCGTGAGAACAGAAAGTGTCACAAGCCATTAATTAGCAAACTCTCCGAAAGTTTATGGAGGTCACAAAGCCACAAATTTCTGAAAGACTTAACATGGTGTAGTAGCTAAAAAACATAGGTCAGTGCAATAGGACAAAGGCAATTCTCTAGTAGGTACAGACTTAGGTGTTGTACCTCCAAAATTGCACTAAAAGTTGGTGGAAATGTCTTCCAAGGCAAAAGATTGAAGTAGTAAAGGCATTTTTCTAATAAACACAACTTGTATAACCTCCAACCAAATGTTTATTTCGCAGCATCTTTGACAGTGGTTCTGCCAAGAAGTAACATTTTTGTTATCTGAATAAGTCAAATGTTTAAAAACAGTCTCCACTTGATTGAACAAAGTGCTGTTTATTGAATAAGTTACTTGATTGAATAAGTCAAGAAGTATCACTTTGTTTAAGAATAAAGTGTCATTTTGATTGAACTATTTCCAAGCACAAACACACACTGCAATAAAAACACACACTCAAAAACAGTCTCCACTATTAAATAGTTATTGCACAAACACACACTGCAATACACAGCCATCATGTGTATTTTAAATTTTCAAGCACAAAAGAACAAAAAAAAATTGCATAATTTAAACCATCAGCTCTTGAGTGCATGTAAATACTAGACAGAAGAAGTCGTCAGACCAGAAAGTAAACTTCACGGTATCAAGGAACACCATACTTGCCATAAATATCCCCATTGCTCTACTCCAGCTCATAAGCATCTGTGTTCCTCGTCCTATCCTATCCCCGTCTCTAGCTTGGCATAATCACCTCGGAGGTGTGTGAACAATCTCCACTTATCGACCACTTGATAGTACTTGGATTGGGATTGAGTTCCAGTACAAGTTATCCCGCATTCTTGAGTCAAGTAGGTTACCATTGCAGTGTGGTTTGCCAAGGTGCTCCGAGTTGCCTCCCACTTTTCATTTTTCTGCCAATCAACATAGGTGCGGATATACAGCTCCTCTTCCCAGTCTTGCCAGTGTTTCTTTTCAGACATCTATGCATGAACAGAAAATGATTCTCAGTCACAGGTAGCAAAATCCAGGAAACAGCAAAACCCAATTATTTAATAGAATCTGGTTGGCAAAAATTTAAAACTCACCTCAAAGTAGTTTATTAGGCTTTCTTCAAAATCGTTTGAGTCGCACAAAGACCACTACAAGAAAAAAGGGCATTAGTGACAACATTTCCTAGTGATGACAAAAAGTCGTCACAAAATGAGGTTGTTTAGTCACGACATTGAAGGTTGTCACAATTGACTCAAAGCAGCAAAGTTTTTAGTGACAACCATTAATTGTTATCACAAAACTACTTTGCGCCATGGGACTTGGAAGGCGTGAGTTTTGCGATAGTGACAACTTGATAAAAGTTGTCAGTAATTCTACCTCTTTTTTTGACAACTTTTCATTGTTGTCACTATTTATATTTATTGACGACCAATTTTTGTCAGTAAAACTATAACGTAGTTAGTGACAACATAGTATCATCACTAACTTGAACATCTCCAATGCATTTATTTAATTGTGAGCCTCAATATTAATTTATTTTTTTTAATTTAATAATTTATTAAACTAGTCATAGTTACTCAAATAATAATAGGATTTTAACTGGAAAAAATTAATGAAAGTTTCTAGTTGGAACAACTATATAAACTTTATTACAACTTGAGAAAGAGTACATTTACCAGTTGTTCGAATTTAGCAAAAAATTTTCATCCATTATAACTTTTTAATAAATATGTTAAGAAGTAGTGATTAGAAATATATTAGTAAATTTAAATAAAAATTGAAACTAAAAATTGACTTGGATTGTCTTGATTGACTAGTACCAAATATTTGTTCAAGCTAAACATGAAAAAAAAATGGCCTAGGTACTATACAGTATACACTAGAAAAGGAACCACTCTTACTCCCCACATCCAGATGCCTTTAGTGCTCTTTAACACTCTCAATCCCTCGGCCAACCCAACTCCCTTTATTCATTTTCCAAAACCTGAGCAGCAGCAGAGGTGACAATCGGCAGCCGCCGCTGTCAAAGATGCAAATCTTCATGGAAATCCTGATGGGGAAGGCCATCACCCTTGAGATGGAGTCTTTTGACACCATCGACAATGTCAAGGCCAAAATCCAAGACAAGGAGGGGCATCCCCCCGAAACCAATGGCGCCTCATCTTCGTCGGCAAGCAGCTGGAAACGGCTGTACCCTAGCCAACTACAATAGCCGAAAGGAGCCAGAAGGAGTCCACCATCCACTTCTTCCTCCACCTCCGTGGTGATGCAACACCAAACCCAAGAAAAAGAAGGTCAAGTTTACCAGAAGGCTGGCGGTGATTGAGGGAACTCTGGACTAAATGTGCATTCAATGCTGAAGGGGATCGATGTGCTGTCCACCAATTCTCAAGTAGGTTCTCTCATGTCTCTCCTTGTTTCCCTAATTTTTCCCCAGATTAATTTGCCCTAAATTTTTTCCCCAAATAATTTCTTGCAAAATTTTTTTGGTGGCTAGTTTGAGTCATGGATTTAATCATCTCCTTCTAGTAGAACTGTTTGATCTATAGTTACAATTGCTTAAGTTACTTTTGTACAACTATGGGATGTAGACTTGATCACCCAATTCCATATGTGATTCATGGTGACAAGATTCAATTGGTTTATGTGCGGGTGCGGTTTTGGCTTGGGACTAGGTGGGGCAAAACCTGATGCCTAATTGGATAGTGGTGGAGGGAATGGAAGAGAGCAAGGAGATGATTATGGTATGAGTGGCTGCTATGAGTGGCTGCTGGTGAGAGAAATAGTAGGTTAAGTGGTGCTGGGTGGAGTGGGAATTGGGGAGTGGTTAGTTGATTATCTATTGTGAAATTTTCGTGAGTTGTACGTGTGAGGAACATAGCTGGTAAAATAGCTTTGAGTGAAAAAAGAAATGGGAAACTGTGATTGGGGGTATATTTCCTAACCCAGTGAACAAAACCCATAGCCCGGAAGTTAGGAACTGGGGTCCTTAAACTCGTCATGGTAGTCATGCTATTAACCCAAATTTCTGAGACCTCATAACAGTTCCAACTGCTGTATTCATGTCTGGCACACCCAATGTTATACCATCTTTGCATCAACCAACACCTCAGAAATCACATACATAATGAAGACGAGTTTGAATACTTAGTACTTGTGATAACAATAATTAGTAAAAGCCTCGGCTGTAATGTGGAACTTAAAAAGAAGGGATGTGTAAAAGATTCCCCAAGAAAGGGTGCGAAAACTCAAGGAAAAGGAATGAAAAATTTTGCCCAACATTGAAATTTCAACCTCTTGAGACTTATAATGGTAAATAAGTATTATTAAGTCAGCTCTTATGTGACTCTATAGTTTCTCAAGCAATCCTCATCCCCCAACCCCCACAACCACCACCAAAAAGAAAAAAAAAACCAACCTATTTAAAAGGAAAATGAATGATGAAAGTACCAGAAATGGCTACTTTCTTTTCATGGTAGGGGAGGAGTAAGAGACAGAGAGAAGAGAGAGCAACTGAACTTTCATTTCTTCTTGTGATCCTTTAATCTTTTTCTTGATGATCATTAAGAAAGTGAAAAATATTGGTTTATCAGGCCGTAAAGATATTTATAGTGGTATCATGTAGACTACAAAAACATTCTCTGGTTTTATTGATTATATTAGTGTACTTTCTCAGGAGATTTGATTATGAATGCTAGAATCTTTATACCTATCCCCTTAGAAGTCTTTCGGTTCACGTATTAGTGTTCCTAGTAGGATGTGTATTTCCAAACCATAATGATGTAAAGTCTATTGTAAAACTACAGCATAACGTCTAATGACCGACATATAGATTTCTAAAACTACAGTTATAAGAACAGACCTAAAGGGCTAAGAATTTGAACCACTACTTGAACAATCCAGACCAAGTTGATTTCGACAATAGATTGAGCTGTACTAACAGATATTACAGTTTTGTAAAGTTTTACAAAGCTCATTAATAATGTTTCCTTTGACTGCATTACCTTTTCTAAAAGAAAAATAAGAACCTGTACTTCTATAATCTTTGGATTCAAAACATGAGGTGAACAGAATTTTAAATTGAGGTTGACCCAAAAAAAAAATCCAAATTCATGGATGGCACACAGAACAAGAATATGCAATAGAAAATGGCATTAAACCCCATGGCCTTACCCCGGAAAATGCTATTCTTTTTCATTACTTTTTTTTGTCAAAAGATATTCTTTTTCATTACTTACCTATCCCTAAAAACGATTAGATCAAGAAACCTGCAAAATTGTCCGTATGACAACTTCCAAATATCTGTACAGCCAATCAAATGGACCGGCACATTTTTGTGCAGATGGCAAATACAGAGCAAGCCAATTTTATATGTATCTGATGAGCAAGATGTCAATTACAAAGTACCAACAGCAACTTATGGAGAAACTGAGTTGGAAATAACAGTCCAATCTCAACAGCAACTTATGGAGAAGCTTGTGAACCAGCAAAGTGAAATGCAAGATCTCCTTAAATGTTTGAAAGCACAGCTGCAAGCCAACAAGCAAGACGATGAAGGCACATCTGAACATACTGATTGGTAAGCAATTTTCAACTATATAAACTTGCCTAAATTGAGTTATGTTTTCAAAAGGGACATTCTTATAATTCTTCAGCCAATGTGAGACTCTAAATTGTGACTTGGACATATATTTATTATAGATTTAATGGCTACTATGGTTTAAAAGTAACATAAGTTATTGAAAATTAGTTCTTGGTATGTGACAATATTAACTTGTGACATCAAGCCTTAGGATTTCAGTGAATGCTTCTTACTTTTGTTGTTTATTTAGAAAATTTGGAGACTGTTTTGCTTTTGTCACCTGAATTGCAATGTTGCTGTCCTTTGGCAGATAAATATTAAAATAAGGAAGTGGAATAATTTAACCCGTATAATCCTTGGCTCTTATTGAATGTTATTAAACTTCCATCCTCTAGTAGACTTTGTTTCCAAACTGCCCATATAATGTCTCTTTTTCTACTATTTATACAGAGTCTATCTAGATGAGACTTAAAACAAATGATTCACTTTATTTTTTTGTGACTCCTTAACTAATTTTCCTTGTTTTCAATTTTTCTACCATCTACTAATAACTTTACTACTTTATTGCAGATATATTGCTCATTTTGGAGGTTTGGAAGAAGATTAGCAGTACGGCTTACATGTCGACTCAAAAACTATGGTTATAGTGCTATCTTAAGTTTAGAAAATGGTTTGGTAGCATAGAAAATGTTTTGGGACTTGGAATTGTTTTTTAGTGCAGCCTTGACTTATATGCCAAAATTTTCTCTACTGAAACTTATCAAACTATTTGTAGTGTGATGTTGCACTTATTTTTGACATTTGAATATTTAATATGTTATTTTGGCATTTTCTATTGTACGGGTGCCTACGTTTGTTATTTATTAAACATTGTCGATATTTTCATTTTTTAAATATTATTGTAGTAGGAAAATCATCAAATTACACATTGCAAGGCGTTGTAAATGAGTGGTATTTCTCCAGGCAGTCTTTATTGACAATTGTTGTTGTCACTCAATCAAAACTGTCGATTGATAAGGGATTGTTGCCACAGTTGATAAGGGATTTATTGACAACAAAGTTGTCACTAATTAATATAAACACCCACTACCGTTGCTTCATGCATCATTGACAAGAAAACATGTCGTCACTAAATTTATAGCTTTTACTGACGACACATCTTGTCATAAAAAAATTTCTATTCACTGACGACATTAAGGTCATCATTGTATATTATTACTGATGGAGATTCAGTGACGACCCTGCGACAACTGAAATGTTGTCAATAAAGGTCATCAGTGACGACTTTTTGCTTTTTTGTAGCGAAAGGTAGTTGTCACTGAAGACCAAATTTCTTGTAGTGAACTTTGCACTGACAGAAATAGTCAAACTGGATGGGGATTCTAATCCGAAGAACATATGGTAAGCATTCAGGTTGATTAACTGAGATGCATTTGTAAACAGAAGATATGCTAGAAGTTTGGTAATTGAGAGAGTGAGCAATGCCTTACCAGTTGATGAACTTAATTTTTTCCTTTTTGCAATGGGCATGAACACTTTCATTTGATGTGTTTATCCTATAGCTTTATAGTTTCAGCTCTGAAAGCCAGTGGAAAAAACAATTATGTCAACTTCAATAAGCAATCTGCCTGACAGAAACATGACAAGATGTTCAAACAAGTGCAGAACAGGGGCACGAAAGGGACATAAAAAAATGCATTGGACAATATGTTCAACTACGACACACATGGTTGTGCTTTAGTAAGAACCTTGCATGAAATATTCTGTCAAGTGTAATAAAAATACAGCGAGCAATGTGCAAAGGCCTGAAATCACCATCTTATAGCTGTCAGTTGACACACAATAAGCATATAACGCAAAGTATTGGAAACCTACGAGCAAACATGCAATTTCAACTTCCCATACCATAAACTTATAAGCTTTAAGTCAGTGAAATGGAGCAGCAAAACTTAACAATTCGACCCTCAGTCATAGCAAATATGTCAACTAGAGAGTACCGGCAGCTATGAAACCACCATTTGGAGATACAATGAAAAACAGAGGCACAATTTGGAGATACCAAGCGTGCTCATTCAAAATCGCATTCCAAATTATCAATCGAAAGTATTGAATCAAATTAAGTTGCCAATTACTTTAGTATTTCGTCCTATTTGGATAGTGAACTAGATAAATGAGAGGACAAGGTGATTATCATTTACCGATAACCCAAAAAATGCCTCCAATTAATTTGGAAATAATGCATAAATGAAGAAATTCCAAAAACCCTAACAGCCTCCAATTTCTATCATCAGAAAAGAGTCAATAACACATTTTTTGATTATACAGACCTTCGGGAGAGAGAAAATTGAGCATACATATATATAAATTGCCGGTGGCAAAGAAAGTTAATTACTAATCGAATTCTGTTAGAGCAGCTTCTGGTCATACAGCAATTGCTTACTTCGTTGATTTTCTTTCATCCGTGAACACCAAGAATGGAGAAGAAAATACAATCCAGGCACAGGCGATGTGTAATGCCTCAGCACTTCAGAAGCCCAGCCACGGCTTGAACTATAGGTAGCTGCAGTTCAGTTTTTGTGGAAAAAATCCCCAAGGGAGAGCTATTGTATTGAATGCTCCAAGCTTCCCCAAACGCAGGTCAGTGGGCTTCTTGTTTACTTTCAACTGGATTTTGAGCAGAAAAATCGAATCCAATGACTGATTTTGCTAGATATCTGCCCTTGAGAGAAGATAAAGGCCTAGCTTTTGCACGATTTGATGGGAGAAGACAGTCAGAAATCAAGAGGAGGAGCACGGTTGAGGAGAATAAATTCTGTGCAGGGAGGAAGTGGGAGGAGCGGGTTTACCTTTACTTTTCTTCTTCACGAGTATCTTACAACAGTAAAAAAATTGTACAGTGGAAGCTACTAATTAACGTCTTACACGGCCAGCAAAACCACGGAAACCTTTATGGTGGGAACCTGCCTATGGTAGGAAGGCTGGCAGAGAGCAACACGTATTGACGTTAGATACAGTTCAAACAGAAACGTTAAATTGTTGCACAGCACGTGAAGAGGAAATATACGAGAATTGCTTGCGGATGCAATTAGAAAGCACACTGACTTCCGTACGAGTTGGGCCAGAAAGTGTTATTGCATGTTAAAATTAGAGGCATTTATGTATTTGCAAATATACCCATTACTAATGGAAAAATGTTGTAAATGCCTTGGACAAAAAATGTGCGTAAAGAAGGTACCGAAATTTTAAGAAATAATAAATGATTATCGCATACGCGTGGGGGATAATAATTTGGAAGAATGAAAAGTGGAGGTAAACGAAAGGATTCAAACCTTCATTATATTTATATACATATATAAATTTATTACCCAAGTGTTCAGCTTAAGCATCCAGGAAAATGGTCCCATAACTATCGATACGGTAAATAACACAGTTTTAGATATGATATAATAGGTTTTAAAAATTTTAGCTACCATTTGATTACCCGTTAGACCTATCCACTTGAATAGGATTATGGGTAAAAATAAGGGAGTAAATTTGTCATTCAAAATAGTAGGTTAGCGTAATAAATTAGTAACTTTTGCAGTCGAAAAGGTAAATTGTAAGTAATATGAAACATACTTTTTAAAGAGATAAATTACAATAGTATATCCCAAATATACTTTTGACGGAGTAAGTTTATTTGAAGTAAAAATATGTTTTTATACAAAAATAATGAGTTTTAGTTATAACATAGTAAATTTGATTAATGACAAAAACATGCTAATTTATGGCCATAATATTGTATTATGCTTAAAAAACTTATACGAATCCCATATTTTAGAGTTATTTGAAATAACACAAAAATGTATTATTACTGATTAAAACTGAGTACGTTACTTAGTTAGTATAGTTATTATACTTGTATACATGCTTGATGGTATGTGTATAAATAAGCATTTTTGAGATTTATGGGGAAATTGAATTTTTCTTTTGCAGTTTTAAAAAAAAGGTAAGTAAAAATCTTTTTTCTCAGAGCACAAAAATTCACAAGTCAAAGTTCTTGGTCTAAAAGGGAAAGAAACATTCTGAATATCATTGTTTACAGTACTAAATAAATTAGATGTAAAATACTCGTTAAAAGCAGGTGCGCTGACAAATAATAAAGGAAAGACATAAAAAGCAGACCATTTACGAGAAAAGTTGTCATTTATAAAAATAGCAACGCTTTACGATTTTCTTATCAGTCTTGCAACGTATGAGCAAAATGGCAATAATTAAAATAGTATTTTATTCGAATTATACATATTTCATTATTTTTTCCATTTAAAAAAATGAATGAGAATCTTTTATGAGAAAGCACATAAGTTAAAGGAATGGTGTAAAAGGGAAAAGAATAGCATATACGTACAGTACCTATAGTTTATGTTCGAAGGACTATAGTGCTATTTTTGAAAAATATCCCGAAAAATATGTAATTGAAACAGAACCGATTCTTCACTATTTAAAATGTCAAATATGTGATTGTGTTGTAACTGTTATCCATTAGTATCGTCAAGTATCATTTTCGCGTAAAATTTCACCTCTTTAACACCAATTTTCCCATAAACCAATTTATTTATCGGATAAAATACATGAAAATTCGGTTTTGAATAAACAGTAGCTGTTTATGGCTTTCTTCTATTATAAGAACAAAGTACCCATTTTTGCATAAACAAATTTATTTATCGGATGAAATAAAAATAAATCCATTGTTCAATAAAACACTAACTCTTTATGACTTTCCTCCATTATAAAAACAGAGTACCCATTTCAGCCTCTCTAGAAAAATTCCACCTCTTTAACACCAATTTTCCCATAAACCAATTTATTTGTCGGATAAAATACATGAAAATTCGATTTTTCAATAAAACACTAGCTCTTTATGGCTTTCTGTCATTATAAGAACAGAGTACCCATTTTTGCATAAACAAATCTATTTATCGGATGAAATAAAAATAAATCCATTGTTCAATAAAACACTAACTCTTTATGACTTTTTTCCATTATAAAAACTGAGTACCCATTTTTGCCTCTCTAGAAAAAAAATATTGGCTTTGTCACTGACTGAAATATTTGTAACTGAGATTTATCTTTAGTGAAAAAATGTATGATACGTAATTTTTTCACTGTATTGAATTTATATGATGGCAAATTAAATGGGTCAATTGGATTAGTGTGCAGCAGTTTTGTGAATGATTCTGAAAGTAAACTATATTGTGGCAGTAAAATACATTGAATTGTGAAAATTATAATTTCAACATGCTCCTAAATTTTGGATATGTGACTTTCGCTGTTCCGAATATCTTAAATTAACAGTTAGTTATTACTATGAGTAATGTGGTAAGTATGAGATGTGAATGTTTGTAATAACTGTTAGTTAATACTATCAGTAAAGTCAGCAGTAAATGTGAGATGTTAATTGGAATTTACAGATATTAGTTTGACATGGTTGGTTATTATCTGTTAGTTAAAATTCGGGAGTTTTAATTTTATTGGTTAGTAGGGAAAATGTGAGGGAAATGTGGGAAAAACATGAACACGATTATAGGATTTGTACGAGCAGTTAAAGGATTAGTTGTGAGATAAACATTTCTTAATTTTAGAAATGTAAAATTGTAATAAAATAATATTTGAACTTTTGACAATTTGAAAAGCTCCTTATCTAAAATTCTCTCTGCAATACATATAGACAAATATAAATGTCTTTTTTTTAGTGGTTGAATGTCATATTTGCGAACTATCTGCAGAAAAAAATAAAT